ACACACACACACACACACACACACACACACACACACACACACACACACACACACTCTCTCTCATTCCCCACCTATCCTCCCCAATGCTCAGTACCAACACACACACACACTCTCTCTCTCTCTCTCTCTCTCTCATTCCCCACCTATCCTCCCCAGTGCTCTAAGTGGTCCTGGACTTGGGAATCTATCTTTGAAAACTTTCAGTGTGATTGTATTGCACAGCCAGGGTTAATAATGACAACCTTTCAGTCTAACTAGGTAATTTACCATTAGGAGCATCAACCAGTTTCTGGTGAGATACAAAAACATGTGATCAGTGAAATGCATTGAACCTGGAATTTTCAAAAGATCTTTAGAGCTGCCTAGTTCCATGTCTGCATTAAGTCATTTGTAGGTCGGATTGTTGAACACGGTCCTCTCAGTGCCAACCTAACTTTGTTTAGAATGATTTTGTCTTTTGATTCAATTTGAAGTGGTGGATTGATCTACCTTCTCACCCTGGCGGTGAGTTCACATTTCACCTGAGAATCAGAAAGATGAACAGTTGAGATTCCTGCCGCTGTAGGGCCAGATCAGTACACATACTGATCTCTTGCGATCAAGCTTCCTTGCCCTCTCCCCCAATCCCACACCTGCATACACACATCACCTTATGATGTGACTTTTGATTTTGAGTTTATGCAGTAGCAGATTTGGCAGTTAATAGAGCAAGCTTAGAGCCACACTTCCTGTATTCCTGTCTAGCTCTATTGCTTCACAGTTCTTCAACCCAAGGCATACTGCCCAAGCATTTTGAGCCTGATCTTTAAATCCTAATGCCTACCTCATAGCAGTATTCAGAGGATTCAGTAAACTGAAAGCTGGCCACTTAGGAAGTATTAGCATCTGTTAGCTTTTACCTGACTTGTTACTGTACACAACTTGAAATCCTTATGGGGTTGGGGATATATTATATAAATACCTAAGTACACATAACTTTTCTCCCAATGGTTTGCTAACCATTTTAAGGTTCCAGATAGAAACTGAAAGAGGTAATGAATTATGTTAGAAAAAAACAGACGAGGTCAGGAAACTTGTTCCTAAGAGGTGGTGGAAATAAATGGCCCTGGATATAAAACAGAATTATATTCTCCAAGAAAGACATGCACTCAGAATTCAAGAGTATCAGTCAAATGAATACTCTGGTTTATAGCATGAGCTATACACTGTCTGATCAATTAATCCCTCCCCCCCTCATGGGGCTTGAACTCTGGACCTGGGTGCTTTCCCTGAGCTCTTCAGCTCAAGGCGAGTGCTCTACTGCTTGAGCCACAGCACCACTTCCAAGTTTTCTAGTGGTTTATTAGAGATAAGAGTTTCACGGAGGTTCCTGCCCAGGCTGGCTTTGAGCTGTGATCCTCAGATCTCAGCCTCCTGAGTAGCTAGGATTACAGGCATGAACCACCGACACCCAGCTCCTCTTTTTATCTATACGATAAACTGTATTTCATGAGTACAGAGCATCATGAGAGAACAGTTACTGTATTTGACCTTTCCTCTCCAATACAACCATGTAACTACATGAACAAATTTGAATATTTAGCTTTGCTCATGTTGAGAGAAGAAGCATCATGTACCAGAGGCCTGAGATGGTTTCCTGGAAGAAGCAAGTTTCCAGTGGAAACTGGAAGTGTAGCAAGAATCTGCAAGAAGACTGCATCATGTTGGTATACATGGTAGTATACCATGTTATTCAGGATGGGGAGATGCCTGGGAAAAGTAGTGAAAGGCCTAACTGAAAAACAAACTAAAAATAACAAAATGTGTGTGGCTCAAGTGGTAGAGCTCTTGTCAGCTAGCAGGAGACCCTGAGTCCAAACACCACTAGAGAGAACAACAAAAATACTCTGAACTTTCTTGCACTGAGCAAGTTTTCAAACTTCCTATATGAACAGTAAAAACACTGTACTCAGTGAAAACCACTGAAAACCACTGTACCTCAGTTTCTTCATCTGCAAAATTACAGTGCTCACTGGTATACTTCAAAGGACAATTCAAAATGCTAACCAATGTATAATACAAGTCAGTAAATGTTAGCTGCTTTCACTATTGTTAACCATTACTACTCTTCAAGTATTGTCAGGCTGAAAGTTATGAATGTTTTGTATTTTTGATGTATTATTGCTAACCTGTCCCCAAAATGTTATGGAAATTTCTTTTTTTTTTATTGTGAAAATACTGTACAGAGGGGTTACAATTACATGGGCAAGATAGTGAGTACATTTCTTATCAAGCATTGTAGCCTCCTCCTTTGTTTACCCTTCCCATCCTCCTTCTCTCCCCCACCTAATCCCCCCCCAAGTTGTAAAGTTCGTTTTCGACATGACAACTTGTACTTCTCATTGTTGCAACAGGTGTTATAGAAATTTCTATCCTGAAGAGTTCTCACTGTCTCATCTTCTTGTCATTCTAAGTATCGATCTTTTTTGGTTTTGTTAATACAGTAAGAAGGTTATATCTCATTTCTTATTTTAACTACCTTTTCTCTTGTTGTGCTTGGAGATATTTGAATGTTTGATTTTTTTTTCCATCCCGCAGTCCACAATCACATGAATCTATCTCCCTCCTCCAGACCTCAGGGAAACAGTGTCTCTGCTAGCCAGAGGTCTCATCTCATTTCTTCCTCCTCAGGATTCACCCTCTGCCCACTTCTTTTATTCAGTGTATCTCTTCATTCTTTCCAAGAGCTCCAGCCATTCCCTACCCAGCTACTTTGGGAAGTATTTGCATATCTGATGTCGTGTTCCAGGTCATAGGGTCACAGCTGTGAATAAGACAGGCAAGGCATCAACCAGCCATGGGGGAAGACAGGTTGTTCATGGGTGCGCGCACACACACACATGCACGCACGCACACACACACACACGGGAGCATTTCAGGATCACGAGTGATATGATGAAGGAAATAAAATAGGATGCTTTGCTGGAGAGAGAGAAAAGCTCCCTTAGCTCGTCAGTCAGGAAATGCCTCCTCAAGTCTGTGACCTGGATGATGAAGGCGCGCCTGGGAAATGAGGGCTAAAGGCAGAGCAAGCAGCAAGTCCAAACGCACTGCCTTGAGAAACAGCTCAGGGAATTTCAGCAACTGACAGAAGGTTCTGGTAACAGCGGGAAGCAGGCTAGCCATGAGATTGGTTGGGGAGTTTAGATCAGATCATGGAAGAAACTTAGCACTTACCTGAGCTACCATAAAGCAGCCAAGAGGTAGCAGGGACTTGATTGTCTGTGAGGAAACCAGGGAGGGAGCGTGGGAGGTGACAGGATGGCAGACAGATCGGATGCATCTCTGGGGAGACGCTCGCTATAGTCCAGGCAAAGCATGATGGGAGTAGCTGGATGTGTGATAGTCTGGAGACAACCAGCTGTGTTTGCTGATGGATTGCATGAGAGGTCCATCTAATCCCTTTTAGCTCTGGGTCCTCTAGTTAATACCCTGTGTTTCCTTACCTGTACACCTGAATTTCCTGAATGAGCAGCCCACACCTGACCTGACTCTCTGCTTCCTCATCCTCCCATCGCCACTTAGCTCTGGCCCCTGCTCCTGCCGTCAGCTAGGGCTGCTATCCGCCCATCATGGGGTCTCATCCTGGTCACTCTGTCCTGTGGCATTCGACGATGTGGGAACCCTGCCCTTCTTGGGACTGTGCTCCTCTGGCTTCAACAAATCTCTCTTGCCCAGATTATCATCAGTTTCTCTTTCTCCCTAAGTGTTACGTCTCTCTCACTGGCCTTTGTTTCTTCTTGCTCTACTGCCACCACAGATGATCCCATCTGCTGTTTACCATTTTAAAAGATGCCGTTAGCCCAGATCTCCAAGCTGTGTACACTGTCGATTGGGATCTAGATATATCAGCGTGTTCCAAATGGAATTTGCCTTCCTCCCACCTCTCTTTAATTTCCTCACAGAAGTGTGGGGCCTGTCCCATGCCTTTCTGTCCTTGCTGCCTCCTGTGCCAGGCACAGCTCACTGATGTGGTGTGGCTATCTCACCCTCAGAGTTTTCTCCTCCTGTGCCTGGGTTTGCCACTTACCTGACACATCCAGTCCTCTCATGTGCCTTGATTGTAGCCTTTTCACACTCTAACTTGCTACTGGCCCTCTCCCATTGCTATAAATCTTGAGCAGTGCATGGGACTGTGTCACTGCTTGCACATAAGTGCCACCAGACGAGCTAAAGGAATGAGCAGATTCAAAGCCTGCCCTTCCTTGTCTCCCCTTCTCTTCGCCATTCATTGTTCCTGTACAACTCCTCCCCAGTGACTTTCTTCCGCATCAGTCTCCTGCCTGCTTGAGTATGCTGCTTCTCTCACTGGCTTTTCCTCCGTACACTCATTTATTAGAATGTGAGTACAAATTGCTTTGAAGCTTGCCTTTTAAGTAGAGTAAAAATAGATAATTAAAGCAGATTTGTACTAGAGATTCCATAATTGCTATAATGAATATGCATTATGGAAGATGCTACCTAATTATCAAAAGCCCTTGTATTAAAATAGACCAAATTAAAAACAACTACTCTAAGTAAGGCGGGGTTGCTTATTGTCTGAGAAGAAAGGCTCATGCCAAGTACCATTTGTTGTCACAGAGTGCTGCGTGTTGGCGGAACCATTGTACTGTTGCTTAGTGAGGACCACCGTAGGTGCCTTCAAGATTGTGGGGAGAGCAGTGTCCCCCAGATTCCCCCAGGCAACCACCCCGCTGACCCTGAAGGAAAAGAAAATACGATTCCATCAGAGACAGAATCATCTCTAGGTGAAGCCAGTAAGCAGGAGTGCTTAGACAAAATGCCACCATTTGGCTCTTTGGTGTCAGTGGAATGCTACAAAGTTAGCCTTGGCAAAACAGATGCCTTCATATGTAAGTATAAGAAGTCACAAGCTGCCAGATGTTATCTGCCTGAACCCCACTGTGTCCAGAGTTCTCTTTTAGCATCCTGAGCTTCAACAGAACATCCTCTAAGGCAGGAGATGTGGCTCACTAACATACTCCCTAGTGTTTCTGCTTATACTCTGAAGTCTTCATGTTTTTGACAAAACAAAACCAGCTACTGAACATTTTAAAGGCTCAAGTTCCATGCAGCATTTCCAAGAATAAGCTCCAACCTGCAAACAAGGAGTTTCCAGGAGTTTACAACATAACTTTGACAACGTATTTGTGATCATTAAACTTCGAATTTTAGAAATGAATACTTATTGTGTGTATTAAACTTGATTTCTTAGCCTATAATTTTCTTCTCCATTGAAATGAAAATCATTTATGTTTGCAGTCCATTGTATATGGATCCGACCTGTGAAGCATCAGCAAGAGCGACAGCAATACGAACGTAAGCTAGAATTCTTTAACATGAGGAAAGTGAATTGCTATGTTTCAAAATGGAGTTATAAATTGTCCCCTTCCTCATGTGCCAAAATCCAGTGTGTGTGTCTGCACTACTCGAGAAACAGAAATTGAAGTTGATGAAAATATATGTTCTCATTTCATATGTTTTTCAAAACTCAGACATAATGGCTGTACTTTTTGGCAGATACAGTGCCATTTGAGCAAGCTCAAATGAGAAATTTCCTATCTGGCAAATCTCACCTTTCCATGGGTGGGACCCGGTGTACAATGTGAGCCCTGGTGTGAAGGTGCAAGCTGCGGCCTCGGAGCCCGGGTGTCCCAGTGCCTTCCTTCACGGGTGCAAGCTGTGACACGTAAGCCCCAGTGTTCAGCTGCCCTTGTTCCATTTGTGCCTGGCTGTCAAGTTGCCCTCCTTCACATATGCCAGCTGTGGCATTTTCACCTAGTATCAAATTGCCCTCACCTGTGTGCAGGCTGTGCCCTGTGTGCCTGGTTACCAAGTGTCTTCATTGCCGTGTGGAAGGTGTGGCGTCCGTGCCAGGTGTCAAGGTGCCCTTCTTATTTGCAAGCTGTCCCTTTGTTGCCTAGCAGTAGCAACATTCCTAGTCCAGCCTTGCTTCTGGCTGTGTACCCTTTATCTTGACCCTCTGGCCTTCTAGAAAATTCTGAAAGCTACCTACTAATCATGAATACATTGCATTTTTTGCTAAACCTATGTAGAATTGTTACTGTTGTTGTTATTAACAGGTAGAATACCAGTATGGAGATAGATACTCTGGTTTAAACAACAAGTCTCAAAAAATCTGCCTCTGTTATTGGTTATGTAGCATGATTGGGTTAAGAACAGGTTACAGCAAGTATTACAGAATGTTCATGACATGTGCTGATGAAACAATCCACTATTCCTATGCTTACCTGGTGCTCTAGGAAATATCAAGATCCTGAACAATACAAACACTGTGAGGTAGACTGTCTGCTTTGAATAAAACTTGACAGCTCAAGAGAAAAAGAGGGAGATTTCTGTAGTTCTTACTTCAATAGTCTCAGCCATGGCCACTTGGTCCCTTAGGGGAGATTTGCCAATTTCTTACAGGTATATTTGGCTACTACAACTTGGGAGGAAGAGAGAAAACTGGAATATAGTAAATGAAGACCAACGGTGCTAACTAAACATCCTACAACACTCAGGACCACCTCTCACAACAAAGATTCAGCTCACCCATGGTGGCAGACCTCAGTACTGAAAAAAAATTATAAAATTGAGTTTGATCTTGTGAGAAACTGAATTCTATTAACTGAATTCACAGTCCAGATTGATCTTTTTTTTATTATAGTAAAGTGTTTGTTTTTTTAATAGTTTTTTTATTGTGAGAATACCATACAAAGGAGTTACAATTACATGGGCAAGATAATGAGTACATTTCTTATCAACATTGTTGCCTCCTCTTTGTTTCCCCTTCCCATCCCTTCCCATACTCCCCCCTCCTCTTTCCCCCCATCCTCCCCTCACACCAAAGTTGTAAAGTTCGTTTTTCGACATAACGACTTGTACATCTCATTGTTAGAATGGGTGCACTTGTATCCCTAGTTAAATGATTTTTTTTTACCCTTCCCCTCCACAAATTATACCAACATCAAATACAGTGAAAGCAGAGGGGGAGGGACATACAAAGCAACATAGAAATCATCTTATAAATATGTTAGAAACAATTGCATGAAAGAAACAAAAAACATTTGAATACTTATCTTGGGGTTCATTCCCCTAACATCAACTTATCTGACCTTGTCTGCTTGACTCAGACAAATACTAGTTATTACAAATAAGGGAAACCATGTGACCTATGTTTCTTTGGGCCTGGCTTACTTCACTTAATATGATTTTTTCCAAGTCTTTCCATTTCCTAACAAATGGGGCAATGTCATTCTTTCTGATGGAGGCATAGAATTCCATCGTGTATATATACCACATTTTCTTGGTCCATTCATCTACTGAGGGCCATCTAGATTGGTTCCATATCTTAGCTATGGTAAATAATTCCAGCTTGATCTTATAGATGAAAAACAGCGCCTTATTAGGAAAGCAGGGCCCTGAGAACTGAGGTGAAGATACAGATGACTCAGATACCCCAAACCCACTCAGCCTCAAGTGCCATCATGACTGACAAGGCTGTCCTGAAAGTTCTGGCAGGGAGCCCCAATTCTCTTGCAAGGGGAAGCTGGCTTCATGCTTGTGGGATGGGAACTAAAGTCAGAGCCTAGCAGGGATGGGAACTAAAGTCAGAGCCTAGCAGGGCTGGGCCCACACAGCGAGTGTGTGCAGCCAAACTCCAGAGAATGGCAAGTGTTGCTTGTTAAGACTAAATCCTAGGCAATATGAAGATACATGATGTTGTGAGAAAGATGGATGTGACTTTTGTCCAAACAGATGCACTTAGCAAAGGTCCTGGATTGGTTGTGCCAGAACCTCATAGATAGAGGAGGAAGCCCAAAGATTTAGGGAGGTGGCTATAGTGGGATGGAATATGATACTCATTCTTCAATTTTGTGCCCTGCGAAAGCTTTGAACACATGTCCTCCACTACAGCCCTGAAGGGGGCAGAGACTGATAGCAATGGATGCTGAATCCAGAGCTTGCAGGCAGCACACAATTACTGCGATGGGGTCCTTGAATGAGAAGAGCCATGAAGCAGATGTGAAGGCCACAGACTAAGCACTCAGGCACCTCAGTCACAGGAAGAAAGGATGGAACACACAAATAGGAAGAGAGAAAGAGTATTTGGCGAGTTACAAGGTGCTCACCATGGGCATGGACAGGATAGATGGCCAGGAAGTGGCTGCAGAGGATGGAGCCACAGTTATCTTTAAATGGATTATTTACATCTTTAACTAGATTAGGCCTCATTAAGAATGTGACATGTGACAAATATTCATAGGACACAGACAAGTGTTCCAGGCAATAGGAACAGCCTGATCAAAGGCCCTCAGGCAGGAGAATGCCTAATATGTTTGAGAAAAGCAAATGTGCATGGAGCAGAGGGAGGGAGAGGACAATGTGTGACCAGGCTGAAGGGGGCATAGGTGACAGGTTAGAGGGGGTTAGTCTTCAGGCTCATTATAATGACTTTGGCTTTTACTCAAAACCTCTGAAGGAGTTTTGAACAGGTGACCAAATCTAACATAAAGGATCTTCTTAACTCCTGTATGACTAATAGATTGCAGCGAGGACATGGTGGGAATGAATCATCTGGGAAATTCTCGATGATAGCTCATTGATGGGGTTTTTCAAACAATAGTCTAGGCTGACCTGGAGCTCAGAATCCTCCTGCCTCGGCCTCCTGAGTGCTGGGATTACAGGCATGCACCACCACACCTGACTATTGGGAGGTTTTTGTTTGTTTGGGTTTTTGGCTTTTCTTTTAGGAATTCAACTGAGAGAAAATGCTGGCTCACCCCAGGATGGCAGTATTAACTGTGACAGGAGGCAGGGGAAATCTGGATCTATTTTGAAAGTAGAACAAGGAGGTGGGTGTTTGGCACATGATGCGATGGATGGCCAGGAGACCAGTGATTGAAAGATTTGTGAACACACCTCTGGAACAACGGAATTTCCATCAACTGAGGAGAGACAGGCTGCCGAGGTGATGGGGGAGGGAGCATCTTTGAGGAATATCAGAATCCAAATTTAGACTTCTCGTCTAGACACTCTCATTTTCCTCTTGCCTAGTAGAGACGGTCCAACCTAGCAAATCTAGTTTAGACTTGCTCGCTAGACAGTTTTAGACTTGCTAATTTTGAAGTATGCATTAAACAAGTGGAGATATCAAGTAGGCAACTGAAGATGTGAAGTTGCAGTGGAAGAAAAATGGTCACCTCTGGAGCTACATATTAGATAACTGGATTTAAGTGGCATGAAACTGGATGGCATTACCAGAGATGAAATGTAGGATGAATAGAAGAGGACCAAGGCTCAGCCCTGGATTCCTCTTAACTAACAGGTTGAGAGAGAGGAGGAATCTGAAAGGCAGAGCCATTTTGTGGAACAGGGACATATAAAATGGGGTGGCAGGTTGGTGGGGGTGGAATCAGATGTCTTTAACTGAGGACAGAAATGTATATTGACAGATATATATCAAGATATCTATATATAAAATGTTGACAAGAACATTCTAGGAGAGACGAACAACCAGTGAAAAGGGTGAAATGCTGGAGCAGCATCCTTGAGCTAGGGATTGGAATTCAGTCCACATGTGGAGGACTTAGCTTTGACAAGCAGCATGAATAATGTATCTATGGTTACGGGTGAAAAGGCAGCATACAGATGTGAAAGCTACAGCATGATCATTTTTTCTTTTCATTCTCAAATCTATGCTGTAAAAAACAAAGTTAGGCAGACCATCTCAAACTTTTCCAACTCTGCAGCCTGAGCACTAGCAAAAAAAAAAAAAAGCAATAAACACATTAGCACCACAGGTAGTGTGGTGGCATGTGTCTAGAGTCTCAGCTATTTCAACAAGTAAGGCAGGGCTGCTTGAGCCCAGGAATTGAAGATCAGCCTGAGCAACATGATGAGACCCTGTCTCCAAAAGAAAAAAAAAATATGGACATACATCTAATCTACATACACACACACACAGTTTGAAAGACATACCAGAGCCATGCGTGGTAGCCTAACCATTTCTAATTCTAGTTACTCAGGAGACAGAGAGCAGGGGGGTCTTGGACTGTAGCCAGCCCAAGCATAAAGCAAGATCCTTATCTCAACAAGCAAGCTAAAGATGGTGACTAATGCCTTCAATCCCAGCTACAAGGAAGGTGTAGGTAGGTAAGTGGTTGCAGTCTGAGGC